ACATGGTATTTAAGGACTAGTTTGGGATGTTTTAAAAAAGTTAAAAAGTCAAAAAATTATAAAAAAATAAAAAAATTATCACTATTCACAAATTAAAAATATTAAAAAATTAATATACATAATATTTTAATCAAACAAACTTTACATAATTTTCGGGGCTGAATTGACCCTTTAGTACCGTGAGAGGGGAAAAAAAGGAATTACATATATAAAATTTTTAAGTTGGACGGAAATGCTGGGCCCATGGGGCCCACCACAGGTCCCGTTTTGATAATCCGAACCGTCAATATGTAAAACTCGTCCAGAACTATATGCCTGTAAAAAATCACGTTGATCGAAATTCATTAACTACATGATCAAATCAGTTTTGTATAAAAAATGGATGGTGTTATAGTTAACAGTTGACAAGAAAAACTAACACGATTAGATAGTTATCGATATCCAATCAACGTGATTTCTTACAAACATATAATACTCGACGAATTCTACACATTGAACAGTTTCGATTAGCAAAACGGGACCTGTGGTGAGCCTCCACGGGCCGAACAATAACGTCCAATTCAAGTCCAAAAAGTAGGCAATCATTTCTCATCTCATAACCAACCCGCTAGCCTGCCCAACATGTACGGCCGAATCCACTAACGTCTCCTATACACTTATTTATACAATTTTTAATACACATTTTTTCGTAAAAAGTCAAAAAGTTAATCCAAACATCCATCTTTTTTTCCTCAACTTTTTAGTCCAAAAAGATAAAAAGTTCACTTATTTAGGACACCCCAAACAACCCTTAAATAGATTGGCAACTCAAAAATAATCTATCTTTTTATCTTTTTTCCATCACATCACCTCTCTACTTTTCTAGACATCTTTTTGTAAAAAGACAAAAAATATATTTATTTAGGTCATCCCAAACAACCCATGTATTTACTTTATTCTGTGAGTGGTTATAATCACCTTATATTTGAGGAATATATATGTTTTTTTGTTTTATAATTTTAAATGTGCCACATATTTAGTCAATATTAATAATCAATTATATTTGTACAGATGATTTTTGGCATAGAATTGTAGATACGACTTTTTTTGACAAGTACGAAAGATATTATTTTTAGTTTAAAGATTAGTATTTCGTACATATTAGTTTTATGGCGTGGTACAACTTATCTTTTGACGTCGTACAGATTCATTTTTGATGCGGTACATATTACCATTTTGACGTGGTACAGATTACTTTTTTAACATAATATAAATTATTTTTTGATGTGATATGAGAGGGTAATTTTTGGGAAAAATTGGGCCGAGCTCCGAGTCGGGCTTCGAGGCCCAAAACGCAAAGGACTAAGTAAAAAGGCCGTAATGGCTACTTCGGCCTAGGGGCAAGGATACTCCGGCCTTAAGGAGACAAAGTTACTTCGGCCCAAGGAGGTGAGGTTACTCCGGTCCGAGGAAAGTTTTGTATAAAAAATGGATGGTGTTATAGTTAACAGTTGACAAGAAAAACTAACACGATTAGATAGTTATCGATATCCAATCAACGTGATTTCTTACAAACATATAATACTCGACGAATTCTACACATTGAACGGTTTCGATTAGCAAAACGGGACCTATGGTGAGCCCCCACGGGCCAAACAATAACGTCCAATTCAAATCCAAAAAGTAGGCAATCATTTCTCATCTCATAACCAACCCGCTAGCCTGCCCAACATGTACGGCCGAATCCACTAACGTCTCCTATACACTTATTTATACAATTTTTAATACACATTTTTTCGTAAAAAGTTAAAAAGTTAATCCAAACATCCATCTTTTTTTCCTCAACTTTTTAGTCCAAAAAGATAAAAAGTTCACTTATTTAGGACACCCCAAACAACCCTTAAATAGATTGGCAACTCAAAAATAATCTATCTTTTTATCTTTTTTCCATCACATCACCTCTCTACTTTTCTAGACATCTTTTTGTAAAAAGACAAAAAAATATATTTATTTAGGTCATCCCAAACAACCCATGTATTTACTTTATTCTGTGAGTGGTTATAATCACCTTATATTTGAGGAATATATATGTTTTTTTGTTTTATAATTTTAAATGTGCCACATATTTAGTCAATATTAATAATCAATTATATTTGTACAGATGATTTTTGGCATAGAATTGTAGATACGACTTTTTTTGACAAGTACGAAAGATATTATTTTTAGTTTACGGATTAGTATTTCGTACATATTAGTTTTATGGCGTGGTACAACTTATCTTTTGACGTCGTACAAATTCATTTTTGATGCGGTACATATTACCATTTTAACGTGGTACAGATTACTTTTTTAACATAGTATAAATTATTTTTTGATGTGATACAAATTAGTTTTTGGTGATACAGATTAACTTTTGAATATTAATTTTGATTAATCTTCTGTTATATATGAAATTATATTTTTGAGATTGGATTATACTTGATTTGTATAGAATTTCTATTGGAAATATTAATATGATGTTAAATATGAATTTTTTTGATAGTTGAAAGTGAAATGTGTGCATGTTGTGGAATGGTTCCGAATTTTTTCAATATATGGATTATTTTATTTATATACAGGGTAAGAATTGTACTAATAATGGAATAAATACAGGTGGTCAAGAAATTAATTAAAAAATTATAAAATACTTGGCGACTAAATATTTTGGTAGTAAAAAATACAAGCAAAAGCTTTTCATCACTAAATATTTAATAGTAAAAAAGAAACAAAAAACTTTTGGCGACCAAATAATTAGTAGCCAAAATAAATCAAGATGAGGGAAAAAAGTTTTGCCGACTAAATATTTTAGTCACAAAAGAATATGGCATCCTTCGACGACTAAAATGTTTGGTCATAAAATACCATGAAATGAAAATTTCTACTCTTTTGGTGACTAATATGTTCAGTCGTGAAAGCTAACAACGACTAAACTATTTGGTTGCTAAATGTATTATTATTAGTGACTAAAATTTTTAGTCGGTAAATGTATTATTATTAGCGGCTAAAATGTTTTAGCGACTAAATATTTTAGTTGCTGAAAGAGAATTTCATTTTGATCTTATTACTTTGGGCGACTAAATATTTGATCGCCAAAATGTTATGTTTAGCGACTATGTCCATTTTGGTAGCCGAAGAAAAGATAATTAGTGACCAACATCAGTTTCGTTGCCATTGACTATTATCGACAAGGCTTTGGCGATGAAGAATTTTAGTCACCATTGACTTTTGGCGACTAAAAAATAACCTTTGGCAACAAAAAAATTTGGTTCGTTAAAAATGTAATTTCCTGTAGTGACATCATCTTATGTTAGTGTGTATTGTGTTATGTGAGTTAGGTTAAAAGAGTAATATTATGGTGTGTGTTGAGTGAAAGTTAAAAAAATTAAAATATTATTAATGGGAATTAAGTAATGGCGTGTAGTGAGATGATTGTGTCATAGAAAAGTTATTTGTAGGTTTACTTCCCATCAGCGAAAGGATTAAAATCGTGAGGGATGGCCATGAGTCAGAACCAGATCACCAAAATGGTACAATAACCAGAGATCTGAATGATCGACAAAATAGCTGTAGACAAGGATATGGGGAAATGGGCGGGTTATCCATCCACAATGGAGATTTAAATAATATCACCTACCTGACCCAACGGGTAGAAAAAATAAAGAAACCCCATGTATTTGGGTCGGGTCTCCATTGGTATCCACTGGATATGTTATACATTGTCATCTCTAGGTCTAGGGCATTATATAATCATGTCTCAAACCAATCATAAATTATTATACTCCATATTATTTTTCAATCACTCAACGTAAAATTATGAGTCATATCTTCTTCATCAATCACATTACACCTAAGATATCACATAACTATGCCTTAGGCCTGTGAAATAACTTCTCCACTATATATGAGCAGAAATGTAACATTTTCTCTATCAATCATAATACACCTGAGACACCACATGACTGTACCCTGGACTATATTCCCCCCTGTACATATGGGCGGAAATGTTGCATTTTCTCTAGCTCAATCATTGATGGATTTACTGTTAAAATATATATGTATATATATATATATATTGATGGGTTTAAGGGGCTGCGAAGGTATTTTAAAAAAAATTTATAAAAAATGTTATATTAATAAAAAGAAATTAAATAGTTAGTTGTTTTGATATTCTTTAATTTTAATTTTTGTATTAATTTGTTTCAATTGATAACGTAAAATAATAATTTTTAGACAAAATAATTACTTATAAGTTGGTTGAGATTAATGCATTGAATGAATAAATTTATAATTTTTATAAAAACATAACATATATCGCTCATGTGTTCATTTTTATTAAAAAAATTATATTAATAATTGTAATCAATTGGGCCTAATTAAGCCAAAAATTGTAAATTTTGCATCAAAATCTAATTAAAATTACAAGAATCAAAATAAAATAAAGCTCAAAATACAAGGATTATCGATGCAACTTGCCCTATTAGTTATTAGTAAAATAATTTTAAAATTACAAAAAAATACATCTCTAAACTAACACACTGCAAGAAAATGGGGAATTAGCGGCTATAGGCTAGAAAAACGCCGCAAAAAGATAAAATGACGTTTATAAAATTCGTCGACGATGCGTCGTCGTTGTATCTTTGTGACGTTTGAAAAACGCCACTAAAGACTTTAGACGACGTTTTCTAAAACGCCGCTAATTCTTTACAGCCGTTAACTACACACGTTAAAGGAGTTATCTCTGACGTCATAATGACAACATTTCACGACGTTTTTAAGAAAAACGCCACCATTTCTTTCATTTTTTTGAAAAAAAATTGAAAAATCATAATTAATGATCTTTTTACTTTTGTTCAAACCAAACCTACATCATCCATCACCATTCTCAAAATATATACCATAATGTAAATGAGCATTCATTTTTCAATTTCACATAAAATAAATAAATAAATAAAACCCCTTTAAATACAATATATTTTTCAATTTCCCATAAAATAAATAAATAAATAAAACCCCTTTAAATACAATATGACAATACAAAATCAAAAAAATAACAATATTCAGTGTGCTCTCCAAATTCTCTGAAAATAACTTCATCCACAGCTCTCTTCAGCTTCATCAAGTCATCAATCATCTTCACCAAAATGATGATTATATACCTGAATCATCCAATTCCTATAACTCCTGCTGCTTTGAGTTTCTTTCTCTCTTCTAGGATCATCTCCTGCTGCTTTCAGTTTCTTTCTCTCTTCTAGGATCATCTTTTCAGCTTCTAAGGCGGCCAATTGCTCCTGTATTAAATTGATGATACAACACCTGAAAATTTCACTATTTTCCTAATAAATAAACAAATAATAGCATTCTTTTCCTAACAAACACCAAACCAGACGCTAAATAAATATTATCGACGGAGAGAATTAATGCTAGGAAACACTAAATACAAATTTCAGCATCTAAGAAAATCACCATTAAGACACGTGGTTGTAAAGCCACAGAGATGCAGGAAACCATGGCAGTTGATTACTATGTTACATGGACTCTTAAAATAAAATTAAATTTCCGTGTCGACACTTGGACAAGGTATGGAATACGTGTCTGATATTTTCCATCAGACATGTCTTACATATTTGTATTATATATATATTGTTGTATAATTGTTACAAAAATGAGAAATTATTTTTGACATTGTATGTTACTTATAACGCTATTTTATCTTATATAGTAGTTTAAAAATATTAAAAATACGACACTTTTTTGCCAGTCCGAATATGTATAAATTTGAAATTTGATAAGTCCGACCTACAAACATGCACTCACACCTCTGTATCCGAGTCCATGTAAAATAGGTTGATTACAAATGAAAGAATATTCAAGAATGAAGAAGAGATCTAAGAACATAAATTGAAATGTGTACCTTAACAGTAAGAGTTCCTCTATCCTTCTTATCTTTTTATTTTAAGCATATCAAGTGATGGAAAGAGTCTCACTTCAACCTCTTTTGGAGTTTTAGCTTCCAGCTCAATCAGCTTTAATTTTGCTATGCCCAATTGTTTGTCTTGCCCAACATCTTCATCGAAAACCTGTATGAAAGGATTGTGAAATTTATGTGCACACAGTCAAAGCAAATAGAAACTCTCCATTTCAACCAGCAAAAAATAAAATAAAATAAAATAATACAAATGTTTGACAGTATCCATAACAAATGGCTCTCTATGGTACTCGAAAGGACCAATTAGACATTCAAAGGACCTTTAGGTTGTGTTTAATTATAGATTTGGGTAGTGATTTGGAAAGGGAAAGGGAAAGAAAAAGGAAAAGGTGAGGGAAATGCAAATGAAATATAAGCTAAATTTTAATAGGGATACCCTCACCGGTCTGGTTTTGAAAACATTGCTGGTGGCAACAGCAATAGCAGGTAAGGAAGGGGTTGCAGCGGGTAGTTACAGAAGAAGATATTAATACATCCACATATATGTAAATAAAATTGCAATGAAGAAAGAAGATGAAACAGCTGCACATGATGGATCCAAATAGTAATCCCGGCAGTCTCAACACAAATCTAGCAAGCTCTCCATATAGTAATCCCGATTGATCCAACAGCTGCACATGATGACTCCACAAGTTATTTAATTAAACATACCTATCATATTATAACGACCAGACTCAACAATTTCATCTTGCAAATAATCAAATGGGGACACAAGGAAATTAAAGCACCTGAAGAAGAGCAGTAATGAACATGTGGAATGCTTGTGTATTCTGGTCTATCAGTATTGCAACCCGGCCAAAGAAGGTTACCACACCTTCCAACTGCAATCATTGTAGAAAAATACATATATCTATACATTATGGCTAAGAGAAATGGCATCAGTTCCACAAGTTTGTTAGCTGATGGTTGTAGTACACCTTCAGGGAAGAATCTGTCTAAAAAGAGGTATTTTGACAATAATTCTCAAACAATCAATCATATTCCTTCTACCCAAATGATAAATATGACTAAATAAAATAGAATAAAGATTGCCCAAAGGTATATTGGTTGATAATAGCCCAAATTAGGGTGGATAAATTAATGCAAATGATGAGTATTCCTTGGAATTATCTATCACATGCACAACAAATTGCCTGGGTATTATATTCATATTAGAAGCAAATTCAATACCATTACAGTAGCTGTCAGGAGCTGAAACTATGAGGACCAAACTTCACAATGACAAGAATGTATTAGACTATTAGTATGTCGAGTGTGATAACAAGTCATTATTACATGTCAATATTAAGAAAGCACCTTTATGCAGCAGCAACTGTTCTTGGGACCAATTGACCAAATTCTAAGCTCAATTCCCCTCAATGCTTTCTAGAGGTGGTACCAGCGTACCACAGGTAATTCCATTAACTCATCAAAGAAAGTTTGTAAAACATAATTCTGCAAAAGAAGATCCCTGCAGGCTCAGTTTCTCCCTGTATTCCAGTCAGCCAATTTCCTATCAGTGTTGTAATTTTGATTTCGAATTGAATTCTTCATTTAATTGATTTAATTAATTGATTCCTTAACCCAGTGAGTTTAGCAAGTGCTAAGTACATATAAATCCCATGGGATTTCATTATATTTTCTTAAAATTTTCTGGTTTAGCAGAAATTGAAGAACATAAAAGATACATTACTAGAAAACAAAGAGATTTTTTTTTAAATTTTTTTTTTTATAACTAGCGCATATGCTAAACATCAACTACACAATACATTAATTAAATATATTCTTAATCAAAATTATTCAATCAATTGAACCAGTGAGGAGAGCAGAGGAGAAGACAGTTGAGGAGACCAGAGAAAAGCAGAGGAAAACTATACATGGATGCCGGAGGGAGAACTGGTGACGAAGTTGAAGCCGTTCCTGCTACAGACAATCTGTGAGGGTAATGCTTATATTTAGCTTATATTTCATAAAAGGACCTAGCTTATATTTAGCTAAATTTTAATAGGAAAAGGAAAAGGTGAGGGAAAAGCTTCGGACATAAGCTAGGTAAGGGGTAGGGATAGGGATAGCACAAACACTGACCCAGTGTTTTTTAATAGCGCAGGGGCAGGTTAGAGGGTGGAATTCGAGAACCCAATTGGGTTCAGGATGGTGATGGAGAAGGGTAATCCAACCCATCGGACCTGAATATGTATCGCATCACGACAAAAAGATACCTAATTATTTTAATACACTAGTGGAAAGAAAACTAATCTATAACTATATCATCACTGGCATCAGATTTATCAAACGTGATCGACCATTTTTTTTAACCAGTCTGCCCACTTATCCGGTCATGTGACAGGTCTGGCCTAACCTGAGTCAACAGATCAGTAAACTTGGAACAACTAGAGGGAAACATGCCGTACGTCTGCACTTTACACTGTTGTGCATTTTCTCCTCTTTATTCAATTATTCCCAATATTTGTCAATTATTCTCATAATTTCCCACCCTTTATGCAATTACCCCGGTGCAATGGCCTCCACCCACATCCCCTTGGTTCAAGCTTTTTCATAAGAGATTATTACGAGAATAATTGCATAGAGGCTCAGTATGTACACAAATTAACTTTCCAAGAATGGTCAACAAGTAAAGCACCATCCCAGTAATTTCACAAAATAGCATAGTCAAAAGAGACCTAAAGGCATGTGGATCAAAACATCAAGAATAAGAGACTGTGTCTCCTTGTCTTCTGCAATCAGCTCAAATGTTTGATTCCAAATGGGGTTCAGGTCATTGTCAATGACCTTTGTTTTAACCTTGAACAATGGTCGAATGTACACAACAACATAAGGATCAGATTTTCCAATCATTTCCATGTTCTTAAGATCATTTGCCTTCACTACTGTCACCGTAAGGTTTCCCTGTGGTCTAAGCTCTAGTTCACTGCATAAAAGGCACAAAGAAGTGTTAACTCCAACTTGCCATATAAAATAAAATAAAGCAAGAAAAAAGAAAAAAAAAAGAAAAAGTGTTATACTATCAATTCATGTGATGAACAAAACATCTAAAAATGAAAAAAATACTTGAACTTGACGATGAAAAAAGTGTGTCAATCACGATATACCATAAACAATGCAAAAAAATCTTGTTCTTATGGTGCAAATCATTAGCCAAGTACAACTAAGAACCCTTCTTAATTAAAATATATATATTTGTGTGTGATTACCTTGATTCTACAGCTATACCACCTATAGGCACAACAATCCTGTGAGGCCATTGAATAAGAAATCTCATACCTGAAACATATGTTATTGAATAAGAAATTTCAAAATCCAGTATGAAGAGCGAGGAAGATAGTGAGTCATGTGTTTGAGACCAGATCTGATGGAACAATAGAGGGAGAGAGAGAAAGAGAGAGAGAGGACGAGACCTGAGGGGCGGTAGCGACGGGAGGACCAGACCTTAGGAGGATTACCAGAAACCCAGTATTCATGATCTCGTCTCCTCCTCTTGCTTCGACTCGACTGGTCACGGTCTCGATCCCTGTCTCGATCCCGATCCATAATCTCGATCCTTTTTCACTCCTCAGTCTCGTAACCTCGCGTTCGTGCAACTCAACCGGTCCATCTTCCTCTGCAAAATCATCAGAATCAGAATCAGAATCAAGAAAAACAAAAAATCGTCTGGAAATTTCAACCAAATCGATTCCAGAATCGATGGATTTAGAATTAAATCTGACCAAGTAATCGTAATCGAACTGGTGAATCTCTCAAGAAGCATGAGAGAGACGGAGGAAACCCTAGATCTAGGACGGAGAGAGCAAACGATAGAGAGACAATGATAGAGACGGAAAGAGAAATGGGGAGACGGAGCACTGTTACAAAGTGAAACGCGTGTTTAACGGGTGTATTTTAATTTAACGCGTGTGTTTAACGCGTCTTTCACAACGTTTGTCCAAGAAACGTTGTTATAGCCAGCTTTTCTTGTAGTGACAATTATATGACAATTTTAAAAATAATAGTCTAGTCAAATTTTATTAAATATTATTCCCTTTGTGTTTGTTATATATATATTCATGAAAAAAAAAATATAATTATAATTTTTAATACGTATAAAATTTCTCAATAATTTATAATTATTTTTCTATAAAATTTCACTGATATGATATTTGTCTGAAAATTAAATATTGGATCCATTGTAGCTAGCTGCTCATCGTTATTCACGTTTTGATTGCATAAGAAAGTTGTGACATTGTTATTGACATACAGTGTCAATCTGAGTGTATATCTTGTTACTAATATGTATAAAGTTTTTATTAATAAAGTTTTTATTAATTTATAAATATTTTTATGAAATTCTATTGATGTGATATTTCTCTCAAAATGGCGTCGTTTGGAAACAGGCTAATTTAGTAACTTTTTAGTTATTTGGCTAAAATATAAGTTAAAAAAAACTAGTATGTTTGGGATGACTTTTTGACTTTTTACGAAAAGATGTACAAAAAATAGAAAGAAAATGAAATCTTTTTCTTTTTGATATAAATTGTTGGTTTTTTGACTTTTTTAATAACTTTTTGACTTTTTTAATAACTTTTTGACTTTTTTAGCTAAAAAAGCCACTTGTCAAACAAGGCCCATAAACTAAATAAGCGCATTTATTTGAGTCACATTATCTCTATACTTTTCTATACATTTTTTTTCTAAAAAAATCAAAAACATACTTATTTTAATCTTTTCAAAAAAACTTCTAAATAGCTAGCAGCGCATCATCATTCACGTTTTGATTGCATTGTCCAAAAAAACCTCTAAAAGAGTAATGTAGGTCCTACACTCGTGTGGAACATTTAATAAAAATTTTGATAATTTTTATAAAATCTCTAACATTAATTTTGTAAAAAGAAATCTGAGTGTACACCTTGTACTTTTCTAGTGAAGCAGTCAATTATTTTTGTCACCTATGGCCATGTTTGTTTGGACGGACTGGATTAGCATTCCTATGACTAATAGTCCTAGGATTACGAATCCGTTGGATTATGTATCCTATCTTAACTAATAGTCAAGTTTAAAATAATTAGTCTGTACTTCAATTGTTTAACCAAACATCGGATTAATAATTTTATTGGACTATTAATCCAATCCCAAACTTTTGTCCATCCAAACAAACATGGCCTATATATATAGGGAAATTTTATTTTGTAGTATTGTTATACATTTTGTAATTAGAAAATGTTTGGATAAAAAAAATGTAACATTATCACAAAAATGCTTAACACCTTCACAAAATGCATAACTTCATTTTAGAATAACTAATTGTTATATCTTCTAATAAAAAAATGCATAATATTTATCACAAAATGCATACTATTTATTACAAAATGCATAACTTCATTTTTGAATGACTCATTGTTATATCTTCTATTAAAAAATTGCATAATATTTATCACAAAATGCATACTATTGTAAATGGTGTGCATCACCCATTACAATTGTTCTAGTGTAGCATCTATGATCTTTTATTGATTTTTTTTTTATTTAATTTAATATTTGAATAAAAAAAATTAATTTGATATGAATTACACTAATTGTTTCATCAATTTTTCATCAATTGTTTTTTATCAAAAAAATTGATTTTTGTCCTAAATTTCTCTTTTCATCAAATTTGATAATAAAAATTACATTCAACATCTTTTTAAATTTTCATCAAATTTAAATTTGATAAAAGATTTGGTGAATTCTCAATGTAATAAACATTTTATGAAAGAATTAAAGATGTTAAATTTAAATTTAATAAAAAGATATTAAAAGATACTCTTACTAACCTCAATTTAAGCCTAACAAGAGAAAAACGTGGGCCAAGCTTATGTGGGTTAAACAGTGAAAATTATAGTAATCTAAGACGGTGTTTTAATTTTTGATTTTTTAGTTAGTTAAATTGTGAAACTTATCACTTTTGTATGTATTGAGGGAGATAACAGGATAAATGCTAGGTAAAATTTATTTTGCTCTCTCGTAATTTGAGATTAGAATATTTTATTTTTTATGGTTCAAATATAGTAAAGTTCCTATGTAATTTTGGATTAAAGTGTCATCGTTAGTTTTTATATATTAACGAAAAATGTATCATACACACTATTCTTTAGAGTGAGCTTAGTTTTCTAAAAAAATAAAATGAAATTAATACAATAAAAACATAAATTTACCCTCATCTTCTCCAAACCTAAAAATAGATTAAGATGTTAATTAAAATTAAATTAAATTAATGATTGATCTAAAATATAAAATATAATTAAGGATTTATTTAAAATATAAAATAAATCATAATTAAGAATTGATATAAATATAATTAAATTAAAAACAAATTAAGATATTCAGATGTATAATAAATAATTAAGGATTT